ATGATGGCGTTTGATGCAGTTAAAGAGGGAACAATCAGCAATTACTTGTGTTTTTGACGAGTCTCTGTCTTCAAGCCAGAGTCCAGTCTTGCGACTGGACTTGGACTCATGAACTACTGACTCAAGTAATTTTTTTCGTGACTTAAGCACGACTCAAGTCGCCAGTCATAGACTTGAGTTTCCATCTCTGCCTGGTACTACACATTTATTAGGCCCCACAACTATTTGCACTGAATTGTAAAAATAAATAAGAGAAATAATAATTATGCAATATTGACCGTATGCAAACAAAGAACTAGGCCTTTAAAGGTTGTGATAGAGCTATGTAGGTTCATCAGGCTGATCAAGGTAGGCTGGTGGTGTCTCCACACGGGCCAGGAGTGACCCAAGTCATGTAGTGCTGGGGTCAAAGATGGGGTCATTTGATTGAATGATGCATTTATATAGCGCTTTATTGTGTATTGTTGTACACCCAAAGCGCTTTACAATCATGTGGGGGGGTCTCTCCTCAACCACCACCAGTGTGCAGCATCCACTTGGATGATGCGACGACAGCCACAGGACAACGGCGCCAGTGCGCTCACCACACACCAGCTACAGGTGGAGAGGAGAGAGAGTCATAGAACCAATCAAGTGGTTGGGGATTATTGGGAGGCCATGATTGACAAAGGCCAGGGGGGTAATTTGGCCAGGACACCGGGGTTACACTCCTACTCTTTACGAGAAGTGCCATGGGATTTTTAATGACCACAGAGAGTCAGAACCTCGGTTTAACGTCTCATCCGAAAGACGGTGCTTTTTGACAGTATAGTGTCCCCGTCACTATACTGGGGCGTTAGGACCCACACAGACCACAGGGTGAGCACCCCCTGCTGGCCTCACTAACACCTTTCTCTTCCAGCAGCAACCTAGTTTTCCCAAGAGGTCTCCCATCCAGGTACTGACCAGCTTAACCCTGCTTAGCTTCAGTGGGCGACCAGTCTTGGGCTGCAGGGTGATATGGCTGTGATTTGACCAACATGGTTTGCTATGTTCTACGTTTCCAGTTCAGTTCAGTGTTAAACCTCTTCAAGAAGAAAAAAGGCCTCACAGCCAGATTTTATCTTTTTTTATGGTTTTTAAAACATTTTTAAATATCTGTATTACTGGTTAATGATATGACAAACTAAAAAGATTGGTCTACAAAATAAATCAAATGGGCTCAAATTAACTTTTTTTCCTGCAGTGGAAGAGCTGTGCGAATGAAAAGAAACCAATATATTTTTGAGTTTGAAGGAGAATACTAGCATAATTGGATCTTTAGATTATTGGTTGCAAAACTGTGCAGTGAATATGGCTTGGCAGCTTGGGAGAACTTAACCATTTTCAGTCAGTTTTGTTAAAAAAGATTTGGAAAATGTCAAATTAAGTTGTGTGACTCCCTTTACATTTGCTTTACTTTTTTAAACAGCCTTTACATGATCTATTGGAGGTGACACAGGTCATATCCACAGTCTGTTGGAAGTTACACATGTCTTGTCCAAAACGTCTGTTTCAGTTGAGGAGCCAAAGATAACTGCAAAACTTTCGAGTGCTGACCATAAAGTAAAGCAGCTTAGGCAAATATCCTTGGAGTCAAGTTATCCACAAAAATGTTGCATGGCAACGAGAGGTTTCTTTAAACAGCCTTTACATGATCTATTGGAGGTGACGCACGTCATATCCACTGTCTGTTGGAAGTTACACACGTCTTGTCCAAAACGTCTGTTTCAGTTGAGGAGCCAAAGATAACTGCAAAACTTTCGAGTGCTGACCATAAAGTAAAGCAGCTTAGGCAAATATCCTTGGAGTCAAGTTATCCACAAAAATGTTGCATGGCAACGAGAGGTTTCTGGGAACAGTTTTTCAGGTGTTTTGTGCATGACTGACTGCGGCTGAAAATGGATAAAATCTCCACAGCTGCTAATCTACAAAACCATATTTGGTGCACAGTTTTGCCGTCAGTACTCATAACGTACAGATCCAAATATGACTGTTGACGAAGTCACATTAAGACTGGTTCTGGCTTTTTAATCATTACTTTCAGTGCAGTTTATATTCTATGCTGATTTTCACTTTATAATTGAAGGTACATTTGAGCATTATCTAACTGGCAGGAGAATGTCTTCTTTCTTTCTCTGTTAGGATGTAACTGACCAGGACTCACACAGTGGAAGTGCTCTGCTTTGATCCAGAAAGCCTCTCAGAGTGGCCATCGTCTTGGAAGGGAGTTTAGTGATGGCGCTGGTCAACATGCCTCAAGCCGTCTGTGCTCTTTTCAGACTCATTTATGCACCTGGACCATCATAAGTCTATGAAAAACATTTTCCACTGCATTCAGCTGGTTTTTCTCAATCTGGAAAAAGGTGAGATTGTCCTCCACAAGAATCTGAATGTTTACTTTTTCTGTCTTCTCTTTTCTTTCTCTTATATATATAATAATTATCACTCTTAATTTTTGCTGCACTGTAGAAAAAAGGCTCAATGTTAGATATCTGGTTGATTTTATTCGTGACCGTAAATACACGGTGCCTTGTACGACAGTCTGTTTTGCAAAAATAGGCTAAACTCAAAGCAGGTTAATAGGACGACCTACGTGATTAAAATACTGCACGCCACAGCAGTTTGGATAGAAACGGCTCTCCAGATGTTCTTCAGTGAAATCATACAAGAACCCATATTTCACTTGCTTTGATGTTTATTGTAAACAAAGCTGCTATCTCACAAAGTTTGATTATCCAAACAAAGTTTGGTCACACTTTATTTTAAAGTCCAATTCTAGCTATTAACATACTATTAACTACGAGACTTTTGCCTCCATAAACTCCTAATGACTGCTTCGTACGGTAGTTGTTAAGGTTAGGTATTGGGTAGGATTTGGGATGTAGAATATGCTCATGCAGAATTGGCTGGTTATTAATACTTATAACGCACGTAAATAACAGGCATGCTAATAACAACCTGATCTCATGAAAGTGCGTATAAATAGTACGCCAAATAAAAACGAAGTTTTCGTTTTTATTTGGCGTACTATTTATACGCATTTTCATGAGACCGGGCTCGCTAATAAGCAACTAGTTAATAGTGAGAATTGGTTCCTAAACTAAAGTGTTACCCAAAGTTTTATTTTGATCACTAGGTCCATAGTTCCATATTTACAGTATTGTGAAGTGAGATGTGAACGCAAACTATCAAACTTTCAAGTTTTATGGAAAAAATGTTATCAGGAGAATTGTTAGCACATGTTTCTACTTTAACGCACTTGATTTAAGATGATTAGAGTTATTAGCTCTCTACTTGATTCTCAGTATATGTTCACCCACTGTAGAAACAGAGAATGATAGATTATAAAATACATTTTAAGATAAAAATACAGGATCACCACGTGGCGAAAGTATGAAAATGTTACTATTGCATACTGCTGTATAATGCGCTACACTGTTTGTGCTTACCGTAAATAGATATTAGAGAACCTGCAGCTGGAACCAGCTTCCAGATGAGCCCCAACCGTAGCCGTGTTTACATACATTTACCAGTCTATTCTCTCACGAAAGATGAATCAAATAATTCAGTGCAGTATTCGCTATTTTATTCAGTTATATTGTGGCATTTAGCAGCAATATTTTGATTCTTATCAATAAATGAAAGTGAGCATCTCCTCCATACAATCAAAAGAGACGGTCAGGTGTGAATACCGGAGTTCTTGCAAATCAGATTCTGCGGTGTGAAAGTTGCCTTAATTTCACACAGATACTCATTTTCTGGTGTGAACTCTTTTGCAAGTTTAAAGGTTTACTTTAACTGTTACACTGCTTAACTGTGTTACACTAGCCAGGTTTCCATCCAAGAATTGTTTTTGTTTTTTTGCGAAAAAATGTTTAGCACTTCAAAATGTTTACCGATATAGCTTATGGAAATCTCATTTATCGATAAAATGTCTCAAGTGTCGACACAATATTTTTCCGTTTAACTTTAGCGTATAAATTCCATATGGATACTTCAAATGTCACAAAAATTTGTTTGGAAACACTTTTTGTCAAGAAAAGGGTCTTTAACGCAAACAAATGTGGTGTCACATGACCGAATTAGCCTATGTAGCAGTATAAGCCTCTGTAGTTCAAAGGCACATTAAATCTATCATATTCATATTATTAAATTGTATATAAAATTATTGTATTACTATGGTAAGAATAAGACGAGTTACCTCTCAAACATAGCCTGTTTTTGTTTCGTTTTTCTTGATAAGCCTACATATCTTACTTGGATGTTCCTTTAAGTAACGTTGCAAGTTCAAATTGATTCATTTTGTTCTGAAGATGAAAAGGTCCAATTGCATTCTGTAATGTTATGTTATGTTTTGTCAACTTAAAATGTGAAGTAAGTGACAGCTTGAATAGCCCTCAAGTTAAATCCGGGAAAGTTATTCTAACGCAAATATTTGTACTTCTCTTGTGTTCCAGTATCCACATAGGCTAAAACAAAATGGGCTTGCCATAATTATCACACTGCACAGATTGTGCTACAGGCTATTCAAACTGAGCAGTGTGTTTATAGACCCTTTTTATTTCTTTAATATTATGTTTTTCTCTGTTTGCAGAAGCGCTGCAGGTGCGTGATGTGACCACGTGAATCCTCATGTTCTGTTGTTTATGCTGCTTTTTGCGCATGTAAAATTAATCCCTGGAAAACAAATATTTGTATTTTTAATAGGTCACAGCCACATATCCATTCTAATTTAACATAATCTTGTCGGTAAACGGTAAATAATCGTTAATCGAGCCGATTATGGTAACCGAGCGTCGTTAGGAGAAAACTAAAATGAAAATTCATATTTTCACTACAGTCTAATAATAGTTAATCAGAAAAATTATAATAATAAAGCTGCACGATTATGAATATTGCTTGATCAAGTAGGCCTAACAAAACAGCACAAAAACTGGATGGAAACTTGGCTACTGATGACATAAAACCCTCCCTATGTGTTAATCATTTTCCACACATATGAATGGCTTCTCTTCTGTGCAAATTCTCAGGTGAATCTTAAGATTTTCTATTTGTGAGAAGCTCTTCCCACACAGTTTACAGGTGTATGGCTTCTCTCCAGTGTGAAGTCTCATGTGAGTGTCGAAGCTACTTTTATGACTGAAACGCTTTCCACACTGATGACATATAAAGCATCTCTCTCCTGAGTGATTCCTCATGTGGTTATTAAGGCTTATTTTACGTGTGAACCTCTTTCCACACTCATCACATTTGAACGGCTTCTCTCCAGCGTGGATGTTCAAGTGATACCTAAGGTTTACTTCTGTTGTGAAGCTCTTTCCACACTCATCACATGAGAACAGCTTCTCTCCAGCGTGGATGTTCAAGTGATACCTAAGGTTTACTTCTGTTGTGAAGCTCTTTCCACACTCATCACATGAGAACAGCTTCTCTCCAGCGTGGATGTTCAAGTGATACCTAAGGTTTACTTCTGTTGTGAAGCTCTTTCCACACTGATCACATGAGAACAGCTTCTCTCCAGTGTGACTGCGCATGTGGTAATTAAAGGTGTTTCTATGTGTGAAACGCTTTCCGCACTGAGTGCAAGTGTAAGGTTTCTCTCCAGTGTGAATTCTCTTGTGGACTTCAAGGCTATGTTTGTGTATGAACCTTTTTCCACACGGTTGGCAGGTGAAAGATCTCTCTCCAATGGGAATATTTGTGTGGTAATTAAGGGTGTTTTTCTGTGTAAAACTCTTTCCACACTGTTGACAGTTGTAAGGTTTCTCTCCAGTGTGAATTCTCATGTGGAATTTAAGGCTTAGTTTTTGAGAGAAACTTTTTCCACATTCTTGGCAGGTGAAAGAGTTTTCTCCAGTGTGAACTCTCATGTGATACTTAAGGGTTAGTTCTACAGTGAAGCTCTTTCCACACTCTTGACAGGTGAACGGCTTCTCTCCAGTGTGAATGCTTATGTGTTTTTTAAGGTTTCCTTTTTGAGAGAAACTCTTTCCACAATCTTGGCAGGTAAAAGGTCTCTCTCCAGTGTGAACTCTCATGTGGACATCAAGGTAATGTTTCTGATTGAAACTCTTTCCACACTGACTGCAGGTGAAATAACTCTTGGATTTGGTCTTATGGCCTCTTTTTTGTGAGAAAGTATTTTCAGTCTTTGTGGATTTTTCTCCAGTCATGAAATCATGACGTTTCTCATACTGTTTTTTCTCTTCCATTTCATTCTGTTCTTGACTCTCCTCTTTCAGCACCATCAGGTCTAAAGCGAAAAAATAAAGATAAATAGTTAAACACAGTTTAATGGCACAAACCAACAGATATCCAAACCAACATCACCTGAAATGAAGTTGGACAGTTTTTGTTTTATCCAGCTATATTTACTCATATAGCATCCAAGTGAAAGATATGTCAGGAAAAAAAAGATTAATTTAAACCCCATCGTAGCACAGAAACTTTTCTTACTAAAGTTAAATATTTTATATGCTACCACTTGTATATGAAGGATATCTCATCAAACACAAGTATGGTGTGCCACAGGGCTCAGTATTAGGTCCTCTGTTTTTCTCCTTGTTTACGTTTCCCCTGAGGGACATAATCATTCAATTTCACAATTATGACCACAATACCCAGATTTATACACTACTCAAAAAATTGAGGGAACACCTAATCATCACAGTAAAACATTGAGTCAGTTAAATGTCAAGGATATCAATCTGTCCAGTTAGGAAGCATGGTAGGTGACAACAGGTGCACAGGAGAAGCAACAGCAAATCAACCCCCATGGCACATCCACACGTGCCGTCACAAGGAGGTTTGGTGTGTGTCGAGAGCATGCAAGAGATACCGGGAGACAGGCCATTACACAAGGAGAGCTGGACAGGGACGTAGAAGGGCAACAACCCAGCAGCAGGATGAATATTGGCTTGTGCAAGGAGGAACAGGAGGAGCACTACCGGAGACCTCCAAAATGACCTCCAGAACGCTACTGCTGTGAATGTGAGGGTGGCATGAGGGCACAACGTCCTCTGGTGAGACCTGTGCTCACAGCCCAGCACCGTGCAGCTCTATTGGCATGTGCCAGAGAACAGCAGAATTTGCATGTCTGCCATTTGCATGACCGGTTTGGCAGAGGATCTGTGATGGCCCGGGGATGAATGCTAGCTACACCTTACTGCTGTTAGTTACCGGAATTAAATCCTCAGAGCCGCTGTCAGAACTTACACTGGTGGAGTGGGCCGTGGGTTCCTCCTGGTGTATAACAATGCCCCGCCTCATGTGTTTTTCGATGAAGGCATTGATGCCACTGACTGGCCCTCATGTTTGGCCCTCCAAACACACTACTGACATTATGATTTGCTGTAGTTCGATCAATTTCATGTTTTTACTTTGATTTTAGGTATGATTTTGAATCCAGTCTTCAGTGGTTTGATGATTTTAGCTTCAATTGACCATTGTGGCATCATTTTGTTCTCAACGAATGACAATGTACACAAGTAATAATTTTAAACGTAAATATTTCATTCATAGAGATCCAATGTGTGATTTAGGTGTTCCCTTAATTTTTTGAGTAGTTTACTTTATCACAATCTGACAAAACTTCACAACTCTCCAAGGTAACAGTATGTATTGTTATATAAAAGATGGCATGGTTAATAATTTTCTCCTATGAAATTCTGCCAAAACAGAGATATGAATTATTGGACCACAGACCTCCACACATAAGATTCTAGATCTCAATGGATGCAATGTTATGTTGTTTTCTACAGTGAAGATCACAGGTGTTGCGTTTACAGCAATCTGTCTTATACGATAATCACATTAGCATTTTTTTTTGTCTTCTTCTGTTTGAAGTCTTCAAATGTCAGGTTGAAGTCAATAAGCTTGCAAGAACTTGAATGCTTATGATAACTAAGAAACAGGCTCACATCAGCCCAATTTGATAATTAGTACACTGATTGCCTGTTAGATTTCATATCAATTCTGCTAATTACACACAGCTTTGAATGGCTTATAGCCAGGAACCAAGTTTGTTTAATACTGTTTGAGTATGAATGCATTTCTTTTTTTCATTGATACAGCAAAAACTGTTAATCTACTTTTTGTGTTCCACATTTTTGTAATGTTTTATTGTCATGTTCAATAGTATTTTAAATGGGACAAGGTAAATCAGGAGTTAGATATGTAATAAAACTGCATTTCTAAATCAGTAAAACTGCATATATGGTCTTGAATAAAGTCTTATGATGCAAATTGTTATTTGTGGCCCTTTATATTTAATGTGGCTTAACTTGAGTACCCCTGAGCTATACCCCAAGACACACACTGATCACTGTCAGGATCATGGACTGCGAAGAGAATAAACTTTTTATGGCCACAGCATTTGCCAAATTCAAATGAAACGACAGACACTGCATCCCTGTGGACAAATGCATTGCGACATGACATCTAAAAAGGTTTTTGATAAACCTGTTCAATACACACTAAAGACATAGTAGAACTTACAGGTAAATATAACTTCCTGTAAAGCTGCTCTGGAACAATGTGTATTATGCAAAATGCTTTACAGATAAATATGACTCCGCATCAAACAACTATGTTATTTGATGTGCCAAAAGATAAATCTGTCATTAAGCAAGCCTAGATAACTGGTATAACTGCATTACGATCATTTAGATCAGCCGTGCCCAAGCCTGTTCCTGTAAAAGTAATCTGCCGGTAGATAAAAGTACTTACTATTACTGTACACTAGAGTTGTGTGGGGTGTTTAAATCGAGGCCGCTAAAGGGCTCAGTGAACTTCCATGAGGGCCACAATGAGGGCTGCATGATATATCAAAATAAAATCTATATTGCAATGTGGCTTAGTGCGACTGTCACATCACACAGGCTGTGATTTAAGTACAGCGCCAACCACTAATATTGGCACCCTTGGTAAATATGAGCAAAGGTGGCTGTGAAAATAAATCTGCATCATTTATCTTTTCGATCTTTCATTTAAAAAATTCACAAAATTCTAACCTATCATTGAAGTAAAACAATGGTTTTACTTTAAACCGCATAAACACATTTTATTACACCAAATACACAAAATAATGTTCTTTTTAGCAACATCATATGACCCCTTTAATGTTGTTAGGCCCAAACTCAAGACAGGAAGCACTGACTGACAGTGCCTGCAAGTCACCCACTCGCTTTACCGATGCTAAAGCCAATAGGTGGGTGGTCTTAAGTGACATGGGCCACAGTTCGGCCGAATGGAGCAGCTCGAAAACAAATAGGCGGTTTGGCACAGTCTGAGGACAAGGAGATTTCAACCTCCGAGCATCCTTTCAAAGAATTCAACGACTAGGTCTTTTCTGCTGATTGATTAGCCAGCTTCAAGAGAATGGTTTGCTGCTGTAGTAACTTTAAGGAATTTAACTCTTTTATTTTAGCTCAGGTTTTCAGAGGGGGGAATCGAATCTGAAGATTCAAAATCAACCTGATTAGAACTGACTCCAAATTTTAATTTATCCACTATTCATCCAGCGTCTAGTAGAATTTAGTGCATCTGAACAATTTGGATATTTGTATTATTCCCTGGCCAAAGGCTAATACATGCTTGTGATAACTTATAAGCTACGAGCTAGGTAGCGTGATCTGGGCAAAGTTTAACTTTAAATTCACAACCCAAGACAATGATTCTTATAATGAAACAGGATTTTATTGGCTATTCTAGATTACATTAAACTAAACTAATGAAAACACACACACACACACACACACATACAGGATGATGATTAACGGAGTTTGCATGAAGTCCCAGAAAGGTAAGATATTCGCTACAGTTCTTTAACTTGCAGAATCACAAAGCAGAGACTTGTCTTATCTTTACTGCTCAAGATCAATTCAGCACCCGTTCAGCAAGAGATGAAGCTTTGTTTGTTTACATGCGTTTTGGTGAAGCTGAGCGGGGTTTTCCCAGTTGGCTTTCCCAGGGAATCCCAGCGCCTTTGATTGGTTGCTGATCTGTCGTTTGGATGACGTCGTTTTGGGAGAACCCTCTGGTGAATGGAGGTTGCCTTGTGAAGTAGGAGCTTCGAAAGTCGGTTGCCTTAGGTACGGAGAGTGATGCGTGGAGTTCTTCCGGGAGTTCCTTTGCTTGGCTTTAGACTTTGAAGATTTCGGCAGTCACGGAGTTTCAACTGAAGTGTTTGAGTTCTGGAGTCTCGCTCGCGTGATGTTACAGCATGTGAGCGCTTTGTAGCGCGGTCACCAAGGCGAAAAGCCAAAGATCGAGAGAGAGCGAGCAAACCACGAAGGCTTTGTGTCCAGTTTTAAAGGGGTCATATGATGCGATTTCAATTGTTCCTTTCTCTTTGGAGTGTTACAAGCTCTTGGCGCATAAAGAAGATCTGTAAAGTTGCAAAGACTAAAGTCTCAAATCGAAAGTTTCACGTTAAACAGTTTCCCATAGAAAACCATTAGAAGGAAAACACTGAACCATTAACCCTCTAAGCGCCAAAGTCGCAAAATTGCGACAAGACGTCATACTTAA